AGCCTCCACAGCCACATCACGCAGCTCGGTCACACGGACATGACCTCTCTCCTGGGCCCTCTTTGTCTCCTAGTTCCTCAGTGGTACCTGTAGCTGGTCTTAGAGACTCTGTGCCTACACAATAACTCACCAAAGGAAAATTATGGCCTGCATACTAATGACTAATGACACTAAGGATTGCCTTCGTTCCTTAAAAATGGTTTTAGAGAGCAGGGAGAGTTTTACAACAATCATTTTTGGAGAAAATCTTTACTATGATCCAGGATCATGTCCTGTTTTACATAAGATATAAAAACATGTCAGTCACTGAAATGGCAGCTCAGGTACATTTATAATGGCACCCACCTCCACCCTCCCAACCAAAATGATTCACATTTGTTACTTTGTAGATTATTGATTACATTGCAGGTGCTTGCACAGAGAAAAGCAAAATCCAAGAAGAGATATAGGTGTTTCTTTAATTTCTCTCATAGAAAATATTTACTTTTATACTAAGGTGAGACCAAAGGATTTTTTCTCCTACGTCTTAAATTCAACTCAGGAGAAACAACCACATATCATCTCATTTATATCTTCCTCAATCAAAACAAGAGATCTCTAACTGATCTTGAATAAGTCTAATTTAATTTAAGTACCCTGAACATTGCACCATATGAGACCAGAGAAAGAGCCAAAGAAACTCACATATGATTCCTGTAAATGTTAAGTATTTTCATTTTAGGGGCTTTATACTTTTGCTCCCCTACATTTTTAAATCCTGTATTGTATTATTGCTGTTTATCTGAACCCTATAAAGTTACTGAGATGAAGAAAAATAATTATTTGTCAATGAAAATATTGCACAACTTTGTTACAGCCAGCATAACTGGAACACCAACCACTGATGTTTGGAGATTAATTCATTAAGGACAGAATGCATGCATGAACTGAGGTACTACAATGTCATACAGAATGAGCACTTTTACTTTTGATACTTAAGTATATTCACTATGACTATGGAATACTTTTATACCTTTTTGAGGACTTGTGATAAATATCTATTTCTACTTTTCTTGAGTAAGGGACCATTGTACTATATTTAAAGTAACTATCAGCTGGATGGTGCACTGGAAAAGTTGTTGCACTTAAAACAGAAGGTACAGTATTCAAAATGTGCTCAGGGCATCCTTTTTATCTCCTGAGGACAAAAAAGAGCCATTAATAAGACTGAGCAAAGCATCTCCCTCAAGTCTCTTCCTATGATGTCTTAGCCAGAACCTGGGCAAATGTGGAGGGAACACAGACAGTTCTCCTGACAGTGTTGAGGTCCCCCTTAAACCTCCGCTGCCCCATATACAAATACACACAAAGTGGCCTGTACAGTTCCACAGATTCAAGACTCTCTAAAACCACCATTTTTCTTTATACGTCTAAAATTGTATAGATTTTGTTACTAGCTGCATTTCAGATTTAGATGAATAAAATACAGTCAACAATTAAATTACGGTGTTTGCTTATGGTACTTTTATACTTTTAGTTAAGTAAAATTTTAAATATATGAAATTTTACTTCTAACAGTATGTAAAGCCTGGTGTTTCTACTGTCACTGATAAATGTGTTTCTTGCTTTATTTTAAACACTGTAGCCTGTAACACAGGCCTCTGTGTCAGAGCTGAGAAGTGGGAATATTGTGGTGACTTTGCAGCCTCTCGGCTCAGGCTTAATTAATGGGCCATCAGCGGAGGGACACGCCCCCCTGCACCTGGAACTTCCCCCCTCCCCCAACCTTTCAGCAGCGCAGCAGAGAGGAGCAGAAGAAAACAGAGCGTGGCCGGAGTTTGGAGAGATTTGTTAGCAGGAGTTTGGAGAGATTTGTTTGAAAAATTTAAAGACGAAGACTTCATCTTAACCGACGCAAGAGGCAATTTCAGAGCAGGTAAGATTTATAGATATTTCTGCTTCTTGTCAAATGATGTTAATGTGCAATATTATTTTGAATGGAAGAAAACAGCAAGCTCTAACTTTAATTGAGTGGCTCCAGAACCGCTCCAGTCAGATCTCCAGCACACAATTGATAGGTACATGGTTTAACATGATGGCAGAAGTGCATATTTAATGGATTTAGTGCAGATGCAACAGAATAGTGCTGTTAAATTGTAAATATTTTTTCTGTGTAAATAACAATACACTTATAGGCTACTGTGCATGAGGCCGTATTTGCTTTGCGACAAATCCCAGTCTGTTTTTTCTGCTGCCACAGCTGCTTTTAACTCCCCTGTTACTGTCAGTAACAATTCCACCTCGTGTTAGATCCATGCAGAACTATCTCTGGTGTGGTTTTTAGTCTGTAGTAGTACCTTCTTCTTTTAACAAATCTTCTACTAATGCGAAGTAGACAATGTGCTTCCTGTTTATACCGGCACGCGCATGCTCAGTGTAGGCTATGTGGACGGCCACTTCACGTATTCAGAGACAGAGATCCATTCTGTTATGCAGATAAAATGCTGCTGGGGACGGAGATCGTTTTTGGTTTAAATCTCCTTTTAAACAGAAACGTAGTAGTGCGGATGTGGCCCAAGACAGGTGAGCCAACATTACACCTGAGAGAGGACACTGAAGTAGATGTAACACAGTCTCTTTTATTATTATTTTGATCCCAAAGCAGCTCTGTTCTCATGGCTTATTGTGTGAAAATTAAATATTTATCAGCTACTACTTGATTGATTTAGTACCCTTTCCTATTGCCTGTCTCACTCCCACCTCTGTGACTGTCTGTTTAGTTAGTGGAGGGAAAGCTTCTGACAGGGAGAGCTGAATAACAGTTGCCACCATAAAAAGAAGAAAACGTGATGTTTCCTGACAACAGTTTGTTTATAAAATTAGGTAAAATCTGCCCGCAGCCTGCAACGGATTTTCAAAAAGTACACTTACTTTATAAAGTACACCTGTAAAGTCTTATACAATCCATTACAACAGTGCTGCCACAAAGTCTACTTTAATGATGCCTTTAATCAGTTTTCTTTTTTGACACAGTCATATAGGTGTTAAGTGAATTAAATTTTTTAGCACTGAGGTCATAGTTGGTGAAAATGTTGTACTGGACTACATCATATTCAGATGTGTTTAATATTCCGCCCTACTCATATATATAAACAGGGAGAGCAAAATCACCTTTCAGTGTAACAACACCTTGAACTATAGGCTTAGTAATAAACAGAACTGAATTTACACATTCCTGACAAAATGGTCAGAAACTGAACCTTTTGTACAGAATTGCAGTAGATTGTACAGGTGTCCTGAATAATCGCTACTGAGTATAAAGCAGTATCTGGAAACAAAGCACAAATGGCACATTGTCTCACTGGAGACTTGAGACGTAACCTCGTATTTATGACAGGGTGTCCAATTCACTTAAAACATGTGTTTTCTCTCTCTCTCACTGTGTAGAGAGATGTATTATATGATATGAAATGCAGCAGTACTGTATCACTTAATATTACTACTACACATTGTTATTTTTATATTTTGTTCAGAGTATAACATGACATCATTTTCATTATTCTCATTGGTGTTAGGTCCAGGAAGAGATCGCTATGAGTCAAACACAGGTATGTGCCTTTACAAACTCTTTACTCCATCCTGACACTGACTTCTTTCTTCACTGTAAAAGTAGTAGTAGTTGTGATTCAGCGTTAAAGCTGACATTTTTAAATGAAACAATATCAGCTGCAGACCGATAATATAAACAGGAATTTAGGGCTCGGGCAATTCGTCAACATAGTCGATCCAGTGTTGGCAGGATTCCCCCGGACAAGCTCCAGCTACAAGACCGTGCCTTCGACCATCTAAAGTTTGGAAGTATTTTAGACAGACAGTCTCTGTGATCTGAGAAAAGCTTCACTGCAGCACAACTGTCCACGAATACGTGAAGCAGCATGAACACGTGAGCGAAAGTATCCTGGAGCACTGACGGCAGCACCGCAAATCCTATTTACTTTCTGTCGCCACACGAGCATGGCACATCATCAGCACAAGGACACGTAGTATTTCTTAATCGCTTTCATGTTAAAAGTAATTTTTGCCCCGCTGCTGTCATTGTAGCATAACGTTACACCTCAAGACATCGAACGTTCGGCCGTTTCATATTTTCTGTTTTAATTAACGGCCACATATGAGCGAGAAAACAGCTGAAACTAACATTACAGACGATCTGTGACTGTCTGTACAGTCTGTGAATCCTTTCAATTGTTTTCTTTGCCCGACACTGATGCAGAAATACATTTGATTATCATACTGCAGTACTCAATATTGAAATTAATCCATGTCAAAAACATTAAAAGTTTTAAGTAAAGTAGCCTAATAATTAATGTCTGTTATTGTTGTTATCACAACACATCAATGGTGTGGAAATTTGATTCATTTTAAGATTTGCTGCTATTCTTATTATATATATATATATATATATACACACACACACATTATTCTAATGTGCTTCATCAGGATGATTAAAATATAGATTTATTTATTAGGAATGTTTTTGATATTATTTTGGATAAATTGGTATGTTAATCGAGTAATGGGCAACTTTTTTCCTTTTAGAATACAGAAAATTAGTCGTTAGATTAATTGGGTAATTGAAAAAATAATTGTTTGATTAATTGACTTGAAAAATAATCGTTACGTACAGCCCTAATCAGAAATTGAATATCTGCAGGCTTAGAAGTTGTGATTATTTTACAGTACTTAATCTTAACGCTGTTCCTGAACTTTAGCTGCCAGTAATCTTACTGCTAACATCAGGCGAGATGGATTTATATAGCCTGCAGTGGAAAAGCTACATTTTACAAGGGGTTGGGGTAAACAGCTGACTGAATGGGATATTGCTCAGCACTGGGGATGTAGCGATTGCTGGATTTCACTATTAACCGTGCTTTAAAACGTCACGGTTAATTAATCAGTGTTTCCCACACATAGGGTTTACTTGGGCGGGCCGTCCAGGTAGATTAACAGCTGCCCAAGTAAATTTGGCGACCCATTTTACAATTGTTTTAAAATAAGTAAGTAAAGGTAATACATAATAACTTATTTAAATAATGTGGCAGGTTGTTGGGGAATTAAATATAATTGTGACACTTACAATCAATGCTGTCGCACTGAGATCAGCTTTCAGTACAACATAAACAAACAAAGCAGGTGTAACCGACAGCACCGCTGCGCTATGAGGCCTATTTTCAATGGCTTGTGCCACGCCAAAGCTTGACGAGCTCGCACGCAAGCAGCAGTCAAATTAGCTGAACTTTTGCGCTGAACCCAGCTTCCACACAGTGCAAATCACTTCTTTTGTGAAAGGTTCTTTATGGAAGAACGTTGTCCTCTGCGACCTTCAGTCACTGAACATTTAACATCCTGTTGCTTCCTCCTGTCTGTGCTGAGAAAATGTTGCAGGTGTAAAACACTAACAGAACATCAGGAGCTTATAAACTTCCAGAACTGTGGGCTACCAATTACCTGCATTTCAGTTATTAATAACGCTGCATGAGACATGTTCTCAATTTTCATCATTGAACATTCATCATCATTTTCACTAAAACTTATACATGTGGATGAGAGTTGATGACAACAGTTCAGTTTATTCCCCTCCCCAATAACAATTTCCCCTGGGAGATAAAGTTAATATTCCTCTTATATTAATAATAATACTTAAATATTATAGTTTTATAATTGTTAATGTAATATTAAAAACCTACTTAAGTAATTACTAGTGTTGTTAAATTAATTAATGCATAATAATCATGATAATCTTGAAACCGTGATTATTCCTCTGACTATAATCGTACCAACAAAATCTGTAATCGTTGCATCCCTACTCAGCACAAGCCAGTCTCTCGTGTTTCAACAGTTTCATTTACCAGTCCTGACCAGCACGCACGCTGTCACCGTGTACACGGACTAAAACTTCTAGTGAAGTTATGGATGTTATATTATGACATGTTAGAACAGTTGCAACATTTTGGTACGTGTGCTTATTCACTTTCTCGCCAAGTGCTGGATGAGAAAAGTAAAGGACTGTCATGTCTATTCACTAAATATGGAGTTAGAGCCAGCAGCCAATTAGCTTTAGATAATATAGATTTATTTATATTTAGCATGCACACTAAAGTGATTTGATCTTCTCAATAAACCCTCAGAAAGAAAGACAATACATGTATTCCCCCAAAAAACTATTTCTTCAAGGTAAATTAACTTTTACGTTAATTGTCAGTTATTAACATAATTTATTTGTATTATTCAACACTATACTACTAAAATGACTATGTAAAAAAGCCTTTGTCCTGAGCATGAACTCAAATCAGTCCCTGCTCGTTCTGTTCTCTCAGACAAAAGTTGATGGCAGATTTCTTTTTTAAATGAAAGTAGAGTCCCAGGCAGAGACTGCAACTTTTTGGCCAATCCTGAGAGCAAGATGTCAGTGGGACTGCAGTCAGTTTGTTGCTGTGCCTTGTCAACTTGCAAAGTTGTAGATACCATGCAGTTCTTGCTGCGACAGTCGTAATGTGGGTAAAACGTTGAGAGTGGATGACAAGTAAACGACCTACTGAAAAATAAGTGGAGTCTGTTCAAAGATGTCAACAGTTTATTAGTCAAGATTCAATTCAGTTACATACTTGTCAGTTTGTGTACTTTGATTGTATTAATAAAGCAAATGGAAATAAGTGATTATTATATTGGTTTTAATGATTAGGTTGTTATGAATGTGGTCATTCATAAAGTAATTCTATGGAACAAAAATTTTATACCCACAAAGATACATTGGGAATTATTATTGTTATGTAATCATAGCACCCTAAATTGTGACAGATTTCCCAGCCCTATCATCAATAGGGATGCAACGATTACAGATTATTGTCAGAGAAATAATCACGGTTTCACGATTATGCATTAATTTTCACTAGTAATAACTTAAGTTGATTTTTAATATTAAATTACATTAACAATTGTGTTTCTATAATATGTAAGTATTATTACTATAAGAGGAATATTAACTTCATTTATTCCCCAGGGGAAACTGTTAATAAGAGGGAAATAAACTGAATTGTTGTCATCAACTCTCATCTAGACATCATTCATGCAGTGTTATTAATAACTGAAATGCAGGTAATTGGTAGCCTACAGTCCTGAAAGTCTAAAAGCTCCTGATGTTATGTAGTGTTTTACACCTGGCAACATTTTTTCAACACAGATGTAACGTTAAATGTTCAGTGACGGAAGGTATTGAAAGGACTATGTTCTTCCATAAAGAACCTTTCAGAAAAGAAGCGATTTGCGCTGGGTTCAGCACAAAAGTACTTCGACTGCGGCATGGCGTGCGGTGCGCGATCCTCTACACAGCAACAAAGTGCCCTAGCGCGGCGCAAGTCGCTGAAATAATGGGCCTCTTTCTGTGCGGTGGGTCTGAAAGGTTACATGCTGCTTTCTTTGTTTACGTTGTACTGAAAGCTCGACTCTCACCGCTACGGCATCGATTGTAAGTGACACGTTCAGGTTTAATTCCCTATACCAACTAAGGTGGGTCTCTGACATTGACAGCTTTGTGTTGGAGAGATTTGTGCAGCGCTGTTCATGAGAGACGGAGAGAGTGAGCGAGAGATGTTGCGCGAATATATACACTGTAGAAACAGTTACACCTTTAGAAGAGCAGTTGATATTCAGTCCTCGTATAATTATTAGTGTGCAATTATCTGATTAATCCTCTGTCAGTACCACAATTTCCACGGACGGTGTTTATACTGTATGTGCAGTCATTATTTAAAAAAGGCCTAACAAAATTAGCCGAGTGTTATATAAAAAAATCTAAACAACAATAACAAGTATGTGAAATATGTTTAACAAAAAGAAAATGAAGAAAGGAAGAAAATGCTCGCAAAGGAGGTATTGGGTGTGTAATTGCTCTAGTTTTAGTATAGTGAAAATGGTGTAACTGATCCATACAGGCCAGTAACATTGGAAGGTCAAGACAAGTCATTTTAAAACTCCTTTTATTCACCGGCAGTCTTTGTACTCTGCAACTTAGGTTTTTATTAGAGCACAGAGTAATAATAAATGACTGTTGCTGTTTTTCACAGGTGAAAGTCTCACTTTCACCTCCACCCCACACACAGTGAAGAGAGGAAGACCAGTGGATAATATGTTTTTGGCAGTAAGGATGCTGTCCATTTAAAACCTGAAACACTTTTCAACTCTCTAACAGTTAACAAATACAGAAGGATGCAGCCTTACCCACACTATATAGTATGAGGTGTTACTTTTTGTATGCTCTTGTTTTTCAGATGGAGGTTCTGACCCCTGCGCTGAGTTAGAGATAAGGAGAACTCACTGATGGTGAGTTAAATTGCTTTAATTATGAAATATACAAAAACTCCTGCCTTTGTTTCATACTTTAACTCAGTCAAAAGACAAGTAGAGTACTACTTTACTCTTACTGTAAGTGTATGTGTACTTTTGTTTGAGTGTTTGTTTGTAACTCTTTTCTAATTTATGATGGTCAGTGTTGGGCAAGTTACTCAGAAATTATTATATATTACTAGTTATTACTCCTTTAAAGTATTACTTTACTTATTACTGGGTGGGCAATATTAGATTTAAAAAATAAAATGTCTCCACGATCTATCTTTTCAGAGAGATCATTACTGTCGTGCTACAGAGCACAATCTATTTAGTTCTGTCTGCGTCCTCTGCTGTCTACTAAGGCAACACAGTAACTGTTGGGCCTCATAAAATAACATTAAAGTTCCCCGTGTCCCCCAGCTGCTCTGTCTCAACTCTCTGTGATTTACGGAGGTTGCTGATGAACAGATGTGTTACTTGTTGCTAAAGTAACTGCTAAGTGCCATTAAGTAGCTGCTGTGATCTTATAAGCTCAGTTAGCCTAGTGGTCGTAGCTGACTCAGCCCGGACTGGGAGCTCGCAGCACCTGGGAGTGTTTTGTGTTTAACGTTACACCTCTGCTCAGGCACTGAGGTTTTAGGCCTCAGCAAGCGGCGCTGGTTTGGGCACCAGAACAGGAGCCAAGCGTGCAACGACACCGCGCTCAGCAGCCTCCCAGTAAACACTGTATGAACGGGACCGAACACAGACTTTGGACAAGTTTGTGCAGCGGTGTTCACGAGAGAGAAAGAGAGCGCGAGCCAGGAGGTGCTGCACGAATATTTGCTCCTCAATACAGCTCCTCAGTCAGATATGATTTTAAATATGCCTAGTAAAAATTTTTAAATTAATGTGGTGGTCAGCGTTGACAATTAACCAAATTATAGGCTAATTATGGGAAACACTGCTTTCACTACCACCCTGCCTTTGCCCCCAAACAAAGCATCTCTCGCGAGTTATTAACTAATATCGTATTCACAACAGCGAGTATGCTATGGTCTTTACATACGGTACCGCTGAGCTGCCGCACAGTCGTGGATTCATGTCAAGGATGGTGCGTTTAGTAACGAGTTTTTTAGAAAAGTAACTACACTTCACTTTACAATTACACTACTAGTTACAGGGAAAAGTAATATTATTACAGTAAAGCGTTACTGCCCAACACTGATGATGGTAAATATTAAATGTGTTTTTGTGACCTTTAACAATTAACCTTTTTTGTCCCATGGTAAGAGAGTTGCAATCATCTGTCAGTTCTTGGTTGTCACATTTAATTAAAGCACTTGAATACACATGAGCATTTTTTTTTAAATCCATTATACCTGAGGTTTCATCGACTAATAGGAAATGATGTTTGTCTGTTCCTGTTGTAGATGAGACCCCCAGGCTTCCACAGAAGAACAAAGTCAAACATGAGAGAGCAAGAGAGCATGGAGTGAGGTAGAGAGAACTGCGATGTAGAGTGCCTGGAAAAAAGGACTGTGAGCAATGTATACATGGAGAAAAGGCCTTGGCTCAAGGGTCATGGAAAGATGTCCAACTTTGTGTACAACACAATTGTGACCCTTAGACAAAGCGGCGCTTCACGTATTCTTAAGTATTCAAAAGCCAAATGTTTTTGCCATTTACAGTCTCCTACTGAACTACTGATTGATAATAATCTGAAATTAATCTATCCTGGACCATATAGTGTCAGATGATGTACTGTAAAAGGCAAGGCTAGCCACAATAAGCTAGTGTTCAGCGTTCCTAAAACTCAAAACCAGTTGTAAAAAATTCAAAGGATTTTTGTTTTCATTGTACTTTGCAAGACAGTGTTCCTCATTTTCAATTGATTGTCTGATAATATCAATTTTCTTCATATTGGCCCTCACTTTAATTGGTGAATTAATAGTAGTTATGATACAGTACACTTTACTGTATTTTTTGAGTTGTACAAGAGGCAGTAGTTTGTTTCTGGAATAATTTATTTCTGTTTATGCTTAATAAACAATGGATTTGGGGGTGGTGATAGCGCACTTCAATCCCCCACTGTGACCCATCCACTGTGTCCCTGAGTAAGACACTTACCCCTAGTTGCTCCAGAGGCGTGTGACCTCCGACATGTATAGCAATTGTAAGTCACTTTGGATAAAAGCTTCAGCTAAATGAATAAATAAAATGGATTTCTTTTATATCCCTGCAGCTTTGTTGAAAGTTGTATATGTGGATTGCTCAAGTTATATTTACTTTAGTAAAGCAGTAATTGACCAGTAAGTATGTATGTTTGTACAGCAGTCAAATCGATGGTCACCTCCATAAATTTAGGTATTCTGCTTATCTATGAATCTCAGACTGGGCAATTCTTTTTAAAAATGTCCATACTGACTTATTTTTACATAATGTGTTATACTAGAACATTAAAATTATTAAATTTAATGCTAAAAATAGAAGGTAGTTAAACTAGTCCATTCTGAAACGAACTCAATAGCGCCCCCTTGAAAAGGTCCCCACTCCAGTGGTAAACTGGGTTAAAAAAATTAAAAATTTCCTTCATGTTTTTTAAGGAACTGAGGTGGAAACTGGCATCAAGGTGCCACCCAGTGTTGGAATCTATCATGCATTTGTCTCTAAGTATAGTAGAAAGGGTGGTCCTCACTCCAGCAGTTAATTAACCTGGACCTCACTATGAGGCACGTACAGGAATGTGTGTGTGTGTGTGTGTGTGTCTGTGTGTGTCTGTGTGTGTGTATTGAGGTAAGAGTTTAATCCTATGTTAAGGGTGACTGGCTGGATTAGCAGATCAGCAGATGTTTGCTGAGACATTTTAATCCATGTTTCCCTCATACCTCTCTTTTTCACCCCTGGCTCTCTCATATCTCATCCTGCTTCTCTGTCACCATATCTTCATTGCCAAATTCACGCTCACTTCCTCTCAACTCATTGTAATACTCTGTCTGCCCAGCTCTGTTTTTGTTCTATTGCTCCCTTCAGTTTTTTTACCCCCTCAATTGCCTGTGTTTTATCGAGGGTAGATGTGATTATATGGGCTTTTGTGTTTGTCTGACAGGTGTCAAGGGCGTTCTATCTCAGATATTTCCACTCTATCTTTACCACCCAAACACATACACAGACAAACACAGACACACACTAAAACTCACACACCACACAACGTGAGCAGCCCACTGTAGCATGATGTGTTGTTAATAGGTCTGTCACTGGTGACAGTTTGGGAGGATGATCTGTCTCGGAGATTTCTTTGCAGAGTTGTCACTGGCACATCCATGTCACAAGAATAAACACATTTGGATGCTGTCACAACTTTTATAGCACCATAAACAAGGTGACCGCAGAAGAAGGCAATTTACTGTAAGAAAAAAAAAAATTAGTTGTGTGTGTGTGTTTGGTGACAAATGGCTAGAGAACATTTGTAAGGCACATCTTAGACTGTCCTCGGAGTAAATAATGCTGTTAGGAACTGTGCTCTATAAACAAAGATAAAGGAGTTTCACACTCACAGACTTTTAAGACAAAAATCATTATACATTCCTTATTTATGTTGATTGATTTCCTTATTTTAATTTTATCTCTGAAAAACATTTAAAAATCCTTTTGTGAATACTTTGGGACATAGAAGACCAACCTCTCGATCAAGACCAGGCGCCACGGTCACAATATCTCCAGTCTCACTGTTGATGGTGAACATGTTAGGGATGGGGCTGTGCGGCGTCTGGGACAGGATTCGATAGCGCACCATTCCATTAGCTGTGGTGTTGTCATCAGCATCGAACGCTGACAGGTGCATCACATACGTTCCTGATGAAGAAAAGAATATTTGTCAAGGGGATACATGTGATATTTATGTCCGAACAGATCTATTGTAGCCTTTCTATGTGTTAAAGGAGTAACTTTTGAAAGATGGAATAACACAATGCCCCTTTTAGAAAATAAGAGGTGAACTTATATGCAGTAACACACACCCTTACCCAATTCAGTACACCCAGAGGTTTTACTGCTGCAGCCTTCGTTGGTCTGGTATGACCAGTAGCTTAATGGTGGCTAATGTTAACTAACTTTAGGCAAGGCTAGGCAGCTTTATTTGTATTGCACATTTCAAACAACTCAAGGTAATTTACACTGGCAAATGAAAGCATCAGAATGGCATTTGAAAACAAAAATCATTAAAAACCAGAATAAAACCAATTAGGTATTGTTGTGTAACTGATTACTGATAACTGGGAAATTAAGTCTCACTATCCTGTAATTGCCTCTTGTGGCCAAAGTGGCCAATTTTTTGCTATTGTGCCTTTAACTGGATAATTTATAATGAAACAACCAGGTAGAACCTACAAAATGATCTGGACACAATGCACTACTCTGCTTAATCAACTATCCTACAAACATATTTTAATAACAGATAGTGTATTGGTAATCATCACACTGATACTGGTCCATTTGTACATATCTAGGCCTCATAACTCACATCATCTTTTGCATTTACAGTGTATATAAAGAACAGGCTACAAATATAATGTATATCATTTTTTTAACTGACCCAAATGGATGGCACTTGTACATCCTACAAGTAGATTTTGATGGCAGATATTCTGATTACAGATATTGCTAATAACATTATTCTTATATACTGATTACTATGCTTTACCATTACATAAGAATAAGCTAAACAACCATCTAGATGTTTAATCTTTGCTTACATTAATCTAAAACTGTTGGAAACCTGTTTTGTAAATAATAATCACTCCACCTACAAGCACAAGCAAGCACAGACATATAGTATATGCAGATACGGTTCTTTTGGAGAGAATAAGCCACTATCCTTCCATGAATGCACCGCTTGTTTGCTGCCTCCATGCACTCATATAACTCAGTGGGATCACTGCCTGTCACCCAATCTCTCCATCTCTCTCTCACTCTTGTTCTTCCTCTCTCGCAGCCGATTCTAATTGCCAGAGATAGTGATATCATGCCAGTGACAGCCCCTGTCCGAGGATAATTGTAACCGCAGCTCCCATTTCAAACTTCATTACATTTCAAAGCAACATTTGTCAATGACTCGGCCAGAGGGAGCACTCTAAAGGCCTCTCAGCGAGACGAGAAAAAAAGGCGGCAGGAACAGAGGGAGGGAGAGGAAAAGGGAGAAACAGAGGACAGACTCCATATTTGGTTTGATTCCAGGCGGAGTGACTATCAGTTCTCCACCCATCACTTTTTTGTAGAGATGGGGGGATAGAGAGAAGGAGATGAAGCATCACAATGTGCCGCACATCTGCGGGGGTAATTTCATTAAGCTGCACTCTTAGGGGGTTTAATGTGGACCCTTTGTACGGGTGGCCTAAGCTGTGCCTGACAGGATTAGGTCGCCATAATGACTCTTTAATTTGCAAACTAATTCAAGTCTGTAATTGGCCTTCCATTGAAACCACTGGAGCTCTAAATTCTAAAACTCTCTTTTTTTATGATTATTGTTCAGCTGAATGTCATGCACACCACAGAGACTAGACTGCTGTTTGGGGCAAAGCTGGGGGGGGGGCAGAGAGTGCACAGTGAGAGAAAAAAGAAAGAAAGACAAACAGAAAGACAGAAAAAAAGAGAAAGAAAGAAAAGGAAATGAGCACCTGGATACCTTTTGAGATCACTTCTGGTGCAATAAACTCTGGCCCATCAGGCTTCACACTCACACACACGCATGCACACAGAGAGCTCATCTCCGTGATTCTTCCGCTCTGAGGTGAGACATAAAATGACCCAGTGGTGCTACAGCGTGGTACATTTAATCCTCAATCTCCTCTCCAGCCTGAGCACCCGCTTTGGTTTATGGCCACTGCTGCAGCCAGCTAAATGAAAAGCCACTGTAGGAGACAGATTCTCCGTCTGTCTGCTAAATCAAGGGAAATGGAAAATTCTCTGTTGCGTCAAAGATTGACTGGTGTAGTCATAGTTTTAACAACACCAATCTCCCCTGATATACTAGTCGCTCTTCCTCCGTCCACCCATATCCAAACACCTAACCCCTCCAATCAATTCTTTAATCTTTTTAAATAAATTATTCTCTCTGGTAATTGCCCCTGCTTCACACTTTACTTCTTGTTTTGTCCATCTATCCCTCCATCCATCACCTGGTTTAGAGCCTTCATCCACAGAGCCATTGTAGACCTGGTTTTTGAACTCGGGTCTGTTGTCATTCATGTCTATGACGAAGATGTACAGATCGATGGGGTTCTCAACTTGGTTCCCATTCATGTCCACAGCATGTGCTCGCAACTGGGAAACACAAAAATCACAAGAAATGAGGTTAGATTACAACCATTATGCAATCAGGGAGTGATAAACTAATAAATAATTGACGAGTGCTTGTATTGGTTTTATGGAGAAAATTATTAATGTTAACAAATTTGGTGTTTGATGGATACAAACAACAAGGGACTGTCCATCTAACAACATGATAGGTCTAAATTTATCTACTTACATCAAGGGTGTAATTAGAGCTAGACGATTAATTGAACATTTTACCTTGATTACAATTAATGAACGATTATTTGTTTTTGATTGTTGTTTTTTGTTTTGTTTTTTTGCCATCATAGTTCACTGACAAGATTTTTACTGTAAATATGCTTTGCTTTTAAAGCTGGATTAACTTTTTTAAATTAAGAGATGTAAAAATCGGTTATCTAAATTTTCATTGATAAGGTAATGTTGATGTGCACATACCAGAGATATGGTTCCCCTATATTTGGCGCATCACTGCTGCTGAATTATGCGGTACTAATGTTAATATTTTCACCCGCACACTGTGAGAGCATGGTAACACTCAATGCTTTGCTAGCTTCCTTTTCTCAATTATCAAAGGACATCTAAGTGGCAGGTGCTGTTATAAGAGAAGCGGAGGTAATTCTTTTTTTAAGGGCAGTGCAATGTGTGTGTGTAATGTCAGCGAGTGAGAGGGCGACAGAGAGAGACAGCGGCAGAAAGTGATGGTGAAAGCGAGCGAGCAAGTTGTCAGTCTGGCAGTAAATCTGCAGTGTAGATCACAGTGTGTCCGTTAATACAACGGTCAACAAATGTCTGAAAGTGAAGGCGGTTAGCGCTAACAGGAAGCTGAGCAGGACTGGAGGGGGCGGGGTCATGTGACTAAAAATATTATCAGGATTAAAAACCGAACTAACCAACATGAGAAAATTACGTCGGTTAGAGGCTCTGAATTACGGTTTCGATTACTTTTCAATTAATCATCCAGCCCTAGATGTAATTATTGCTGAATCTTATTTTGTCTCTGTCACTTTTAGTTTAGCAGTATGGAGCTCCTATATCAGGCCTGATTCTGGAATATTCTGCAGATACTACTTAGGGAGGAATAAATGTTTTGTGTGGAAAAGAGGTCATGTATATTTTGCTATCTGTAATGTTACTGTTCTAATAAAAAGACACTACACTTGAATATCAGTCAAAGCTACAGCATCCAAGGACAGTGTTCCTGGGACATACTGATTTCTGGTGACTAAATCTTTATTTCAGATTACTTTAGTCTTTGTTTTCTGTTTTTATTGTATTTTATTTGAATTTCTCTATTTGTGTGTTAGAGAAGCAAATATTCTTATATGAGTTCTCTGTCATTGAAACCAACATAATACAAAAATGTTGGCCAAATGTATTATTTTTTGGTAGACTTTGGAAATGCAAATTTCATTAAAACACTAGTGATACTGTCTACACCCACGCTTCTGAAACTAAACCTTCACCCTTTGTCTTCATTAACTGCTGCCATTGCCTAAGTTTTAATAGCTGTTATGTTTGAATATCACTTCTGTATATCACTCCTGGGATAGATGCCCTCAACCTATCAGTGTATTCCCAAATGTCTGCACTCATAGAAGTGGACACAAGAAAAGGAGAAACAACATAAATAAAACACCAACAAACTGAAAGCATTGTTTTTATATACTTCAAGGTGACTATTTCACAGTACTTCTAAAGTAAAAAAACCCCACCTCTGCACTGTTTTTGAATTTGGTTCACTGAATTTGGCATTCAACCCAGCTCATGAATACATGGGCTGATAAAATCTGCTTTATTGAACTATACAGTATAAAAGTTTCAGAAAGATTTCCCAGACCCACACAACAATAATAAGAAACATGTGAAATTCTGGATATTTTTCTTGCAGAAAAATTGCCTTTGCGATCATGCACTTTCTCCAGACTTCTTATCTCTTTTATACTTAGTACCCAGATATTTTTATCTCAGTAGAAACCAAAACAAGAAACATCTTATTTTATTGGAAGGTGGCCCTGATGTAAAGGCAAGGTGTTTGTTTCAGGACCATTGTGTTGGATCCCAGGCCAACATTCTGTGTGGTTTTGTTTGAAAGAGAGTCCTGAAATCTTTCAGTTCCCTCTGACTCCACAAACACATCAGCCCATCTCAAATTCAACTCAGCTGTGCTCAGATCAATGGAATCCCCAACTAGGATTTCTCACAAAGTTTGGACATGAGGTTATTACTGGAATCAATACATGCTGTAAAGTGTGTCCTGACGGCTCTCTCTCTTATGAAGTCTGGAGGAAGAAATAAAGAACTGACTGAATGAAAACGACAGTGGAGAAAACTGAATTATCAGGGAAATGTTGGCTTTAAATGAATGCTTGTGGGTTTTTTTTTTTCACTCCATGCATGAAGGTCAAACTGAAGACTGAGATGCCATTTCAAAATGAACTCCACGGTTCTCCTTAAAGCTGTTTTGATTCACTTCACTCAACCTGAGAATGTTTATATCCCCAAACATGACTTATTCAGTGATATTCCTGTCAGCTAGAAGCACCGGGGATGTTTAGTTTATATCATACAAAGAAAAAAAAAATTATGCAGATACTATCTACATCCTGCTCCTAACAATGTAGGCTAGTAAATATGTATTCTGTTAAAATGTCAGCAATCAATTTCAGCTGAAGGACCTTCAACCTTATTTGATGTTAGGGATATTCATCTAAAGGAAGGCTAAAGGAAGGAGATGAAAATGGGGCTGGGGGAAAATGACAACATGTTAGGAACAGATAGAGAAGAAATATGACAAATTGTAACATGAGAAGATTTTTTTCCCCCTGTCATGTATGGAGAATTGAGGGATACTCTGAGTGAGCAAGATGGGAAAGCGGCTACCACTGCACTGGCCACTGCAAGAGCATGAGAGCCAGATAAGTGAAATAGCCTCCAGGCTCATTGCAGCAGGAAATAGAATAAATAGCATTCTTCATCGGCTTCTTTTCCTCAGAGAGGTGAAGAACGTCTCCAATGCCACCCGCCCATCCACTCCTCTCCGCCGGTTTGCTTCTGCTCTGCACCTCCACCAAAATTGTGTCTTCAGGTCTCCCTGAGGTTAATTTGACTTTACTTTTTCCACTGCATTGTCTGATCTGTCCGGCACCCAATATCCGTGCACTGCCATCGCATATCACATCTCGCATCTCGCCGTGCTGTAACAGGCTAGGAGCCAGGCCCCTTATCTCAACCCACCCTCATCCCTCCATCCCGCATGCACCCACACCCTAATTCAATAACAGCAGGAGTCAGAGATTACCGCCATGTTTAAAAAAGGCAAAATGTAATTCTGGGTCCACATTAAAGTTATTATCTTGAAAGGCAGGGGGAGAAAACAGACCGTACCAGGCGCTTGGCATTTGGCAAAGAGGAAGCATCCTGATAGAGATAACAACAGACCCAGAAGCTCCAAGGTTTTTTCCTTATAAGAATGCATCTTGTTACATGGCTGATTTAAAAATTTCAGAGTGCTCATTCTTTTGAAATAAAAAGAACTAGACCGTAACTTTGTTCTGTCCTTGCATGAAATATGAAGTAAACAAAAGAGGAGGACAAAGTCAAATTCTTGCTTTTCAGGATGGTGTTGCTTAGTAAAGTTCTTTGTCTTTAAAGTTATTGGCCTGACGATGTTCAAGTTTTATACAATACAGTTTAATTGCTTTTCTGTTGCTCTAACAGCATCTAGTGTGAGAGGCCTTTCATTTTGTTTACATGTACATCTTTACCTTGTCTAAGCTGGTTTGTCCCTGCTCTTTGACTTCCACACTTTTCATCTTCAACAAACATGGAGTTTAACAGAAATGGGCAGTATTTCAATTAATGTTAATTTAATTACTTTTGAGTATTTTGTCATTTGTATTTTGAGTTTTTAACAAAATACTTTAAGAGCTTGTATTTCCATTTGAATATTAAAATACATTATTTAATATGTGTTTTATGTTCCTTGTGACCAGTAGCTTGACTGAAGAAGCTGCTTTCCTCCAAGATAAAGCTATGCAACATATTATCACGTACTTCATTCGTCTGGGGCTAACTCGTTAGAATGCTAACTTCAGCAAATGTCTCTGCAACACAATACATAGATGTCTACTTTCACATATTTTTGGGTTGAAATGACTAGTAGGTACAAAACATTTTGTAATCCGTCCAGCTTCGACTGGAAGCCACAAACCGGCTGTAGTGGCTCCAACGCATTGCTTTAGGGCAATTGCGCCCGACAAAATGCTTGTTTTTGCTACTGATGCTCAAACAGTTATTCCAGGTGCCTGACAACATCACGGAAATGATCCCCACGAGAAACACCCAGTCAAACTCCTTATTTTGAACCAGACCCAGAAGTCTTGCTAAAGGACTATTCTCGCTCTGAAAGTTGTTGCTTTTTCCTGTGGTTCATACCAGCCTCAAAAGTGGTTCAAACCACAACTGGTTATGTGTGCAGCATTTAATTTAATGTTAAAAACCATATTGACAGGAAAGAAGCAAAGAAGAAAACGGCAAAATCAGCTGGGGCAGTGCAGGAGGGACATCAAGGCCACTGTTGCCTCAGGCATGTATATATTTTTGAGGGGTATAAGGCCAAACTGAGGGTACACAGTGGCCATGGCCTTCATGGCCTCTATGAAATTCCTGCCCTGGTTTGTATAGAATCTATTTTTATATTAACAAATTGTATTTTAATTAAGTACATTTTTAATACCAGTATTTTGTATTTTATATTTGATGAGTAAGTATTTGTAATTTTTAACAAGATGATGTATTTATGCACATCACTGGAGTTTAACTTAAACAGCCTTCAGCAAGCCTCTGCCTTTTTTAACAAATCACCTCATTGATTAGACTTTCTCCTGGGTGTAAATCTGTTCAACTCCCACTAAAAGGTTGGAGTTGCAAGCTCACCAGGACTGTAAGTCAGACTAGACTCCCATATAAATACAAGGATAGTGGCAGGTACAGAGTAGGAGAAAACTAGAGACACCAACTTAAAGTGATTAACCCAGTGTGATTGTTCACCACATCAAAGCATTAGGGCTCTCTTTTCATGGCGGCAGAAAGACTAGCAGAAAGATCAGCTTAAGCACCAATACGACAAATTAGTGCTTTTTAGTACTCAGCACAATGGTACGATTGAAAGTTTCATTCAAATGAGGTAGCGCCAAAACAGGTGTTGGTATTTTGGCAAAAATTTGGTATTAGACAAAACAAAAATGGACATAAATGCTGCACTGGGCAAAGACTGCTTTTACATTACTGTACAGGTTAAACAAACAACTAACAACATACTGTGTGTTGATTAGTTAGCTTTAGATGTGAAATATTTTTGATTCCCCTGCTTCAAGTCTCTAGAATAAAGATATACGAATAAGAGTATATCCAGAACACATCTTGTCACTCATCATCCAGGTTTATTTTCCTACCAAGCCATTTTCCTCTCTAATCGGTGAGTCTTTTCGCCACTGTTACTGGCACAGCAGTATTAATTTATCATTGAGCTCTCGGCTAGTTACAGTGCTTTTCTCATAGCTTTAATGACATTCTCTGGCTTAAACTTCACTTCATCCAGATGCTTTGCAAATAGCACTGTCACACCTATATGAGTGAAAAGGTGCAAACTGGAAATTCTGTCATTCATTCCATCATCATTGTGCACTAAAACTTGTTTTATGTAGAGCTACATGGATTCGGATGTATGTTGTCATGATATAAAGACTTGTGTGTCAAAGGGTTAAATTGCTGTATAGTAATGTCTGTGGGGGGGTTAAATGGTCATAGGTACTCTGCGTGCATATATAGTGTGTATGTGTGTGAGAAAGAGAGAGAGACTCACATGGTAAGAAGAACGACGTTCTCTATCAAGAGGTTTGGTGACGAACATCTTTCCAAGCACAGGGTCTATATTGAACACTTCATTGGGTGGTTGATCTGCTCCCACCCCAGTGATGCTGTATCGGATCGAGATGTCCTTGTCCTGGTCTGAACGAATCTGCATCACAACAAACAAAGAGGAACACTCAATCAATCAATCAATCAAGTGTTTATTAAAGTCTCATACTGTGTTACCGAGCCACACAGAGTTTTCTGTGTGTATGACTCTCTTGCCCTGACGAAACTAAACTAAAACATCTATTGTTGCAACATGTGGTGCCTCAGAGTGTGGCATTTCTAGCTACCACATATTCAAGGATTCCATTAGTGCTGCCGCAGGGAGCACTATGCATTCTGTTTAGCAGAATTGGCAGCTTCAAAGAAACATTTTAATTCAATATTCGGGGAGGGAGAAATGAAATCAACATGTATTTACTGATAACTTTGACAGTGCTTTATTAACATTTGCTGGCGCTAAACTGGATTAACAGGTTGTGGATAAAATGACTATTAGATGGAAAAGTGAAAATACGAGGTTGCAATTGTTGTGTAATTAAGAGCAACAACAGGCAACATAACATTAAACACATTTGAGGAGGGAAAAATGGGCCAAAGAAAATCTCTCAATCCAGGGGTGCACAGGAGAAGATAATTATTTAATAACTGTGGGAGATGGGAAGCAGAACATTCTTTAAGAAATAGGCCTGTGCTTGAGTTCAGCTTTCCTTGCCAGATAGACAGCTAATAGGTGCATTAACTGCACTGCTAGGCCTGTGATTGGACTGAAGTGCTGTGTAATTGGGACTCATTTGGAGGAGTTTTTCAATTTAGTGCCCAAATAGAGTCCAAACCTCAAAGCATCCCATCTCTTCCATTAACTACATGACAACCCGTGAACATCAGCTGGTGTATCAAAATGACTCAATCATACCTTACTCCAGTATTCGGGCACACTGTACACAAACACACACGGGAAAAGGCCAATCTCTTTTTTCTTAATCAATGACTATTTCAGTGGAGAGCCTGAGTGTACCCGAAGAGTATGACTGTCCAAAGTTGTCTCCATCTTTCACCTCTTGAGGAACCAATTTAGCCACACTTTTGACACACCCGGAATTCTGCCCTGCTGAGAAAATAGCTGGAGCAACTAACAAGGACACAGGACGGACATACGGTATTAGACAGGTGTCAACCTGACTTTCCTACTGGTGGAATAAAAACCTGTCACCATCACTGACTCTGCTATTATCACTATTTTCCTTCTCCTCCTCTTCAGCAGCATCAACATTATCAATCTTTAACTCATCAACTCAATATTAGTATATCCGGCCTTTAATGTTGCCTTTAATCTTTAATCAAACAAATGTGATCGGTTTAGAAACCTTCCTGTAGAATGCAAGAGGAGCTGTCATAACATCACACTTAGGTTATTTGTGCTGTCTTGGTGGTGTTTTCTTTGGGGAATAGGGGGAGGAGAACGTCGAATGCTCTGCACATATCTCAGCGATTACTGCTGACAGCTATGATAATTAACGAGCTGCAGACATCGACTGCTATTACTTCAAAGAAACTCTACCCGTTAAACCCAACAACTAACAACTACCTGCCAGCAACTCAGTTGAACGCTCATGTACCACCATTACCCCCTCTATAGCAAAGCAAAGAGACTGCTGCACACTGACTCCTCTACCTCTCCTGTCGCATTAGAAAATACAGCAATTATTACACATCCGGCTGCCAAATGGTCTCCCCTCTCATTCATCCACCTTTCT